TATAACACCTCATATGAAGATTTGGCTTTGTGTAATTTTGTGGGTAATCTATTAAGAATGTACACTGCTGCAGTAACACACATACCCCAGAATCTAATAGGAATACAGGCCTGAAATCTTAAGGCTCTAGCCATGTCAAGAATAGATCTATGTTTCCTCTCAACCACACCATTCTGTTGAGGAGAATGAACACATGAGCTTTGATGCATAATCCCATGCTCTCTGAACAAAGCATCTACCTGGGAATTGAAGAATTCTGTTCCATTGTCTGATCTTATACATTTGACAGTGACCTCAAATTGTGTCTTGATCATATAGATAAAATCTCTCAACAAGACAATAGTATCAGACTTAGTGTGCATCAAGAAAATCCAAGTATATTTGGATCTATCATCTACCAATGTTAAAAAATATCTCTTTCCATCATGGTTAGAGACTCTATAGGGCCCCCATACATCAGCATGCACTATATCAAAACAAGCATTGGATAGAGACACACTAGTAGGAAATGGTAACCTTGTTTGCTTTGCAATAGGACAAACAGTACAAGTGTGATCTTTCATAGGTACATTTTGCAAGCACTGTATTCTACTAAGAACTTTGAAAGGAGCATGTCTCAGTCTCTTATGCCAAAGACTATGTATTGAACAAACAGAAGTAAAACTACTAGAAGAACTGATACATGAACTGGTACATTTGTTCCTAGTAATCTTGTCTTGCAAAGTTCTTGGTTGTGTGTCTGTATTGAGAAGGTATAATCCTTGATCTTCCTTACCAATCCCCAGGACCCTCCCACTGAAGAGATCCTGAAAGATACAGAAGTCAGGGAAAAATAGTACTGCACACTTTAGTTGTTTAGTAAGTTGAGAGACTGATAACAGATTATACTGAAATTCTGGTATATAGAGAACATCCTTCACTAATTTATCCTCAAGAATTAGTGAATCTCCAATATGACTAATAGCCACTTGAGTACCAGTAGGCAAATTTACTTTCATATCATTTTTGCTTCCAAGATCTGTACAATGTTTCATAAGATTCATACAGTGAACCATATGATTTGAAGCACCTGTATCTATAATCCAGTTTGTATGAGCCATATCAGACATAAGAGTTGTAAAAGTACCTGAGGTACCTGAGGAACTTGCAGTTGCAACATTAGCCATAGAATCTACTTCCTTGCCTTTTCCTTTGCTCAACATCTTTAAAATCTGATTGTATTGTTCATGTGTAAAGAGTGACATGCCTTGTGTACCTCCTGAGAAATTGTTAGAAGAAGTACCAAAGGGCTTAGCATTAGTATTTACAGAAGAATTATCACAGGTTCCATTTTCAGGAGACTGACATCCTCCAGCAGTAGCACTGTTAGCATGAGAAGAAGAGCTTCCTTTCTTCTTAGGATAGCCATGAAGTTTGTAACAAGAATCTTTAGTATGTCCTCTGTAATGACAGTAATCACAATAGAGATTTGATCTTCCTCCTTGTCGTACATCACCATTATTTCTAGCTTTATAACCACTATTTCCACTAGAACCATTGTTAGAATAGTAAGTTGAACTTGAGCTAGAACCACCACTGTTATGATATCCACTATTATAACCAGACATTCTAATACTCATAAGAGCAGTTTCTGAAGAAGTTTCTGCTGAGAATGAACTACTACTTGCACCAGTCACTCTTTGACTTTCTACATTAATGATCATAGCATAGGCTTGATTAACATTTGGTGTAGGAATCTGCATTAACACCTGACTTTTAGCATGAGCATAAGACTCATTTAGCCCCATCAAAAACTGCCATAACTTCTGAAATTGAAAATGTTCTGCATACTGTTTGGATCCAGGACATGCACAAGAAGGGGGTGGTATAAGTGTCTCAAACTCATCCCAAAGTTCTCTTAATCTTGAAAAATAATTCGACACAGATGCAGTTCCTTGAGACTGGGTAACAATTTCCTTGTGAAGATAAAATGCTCTAGAAGCATTAACCTTATCAAACCTTTCTCTAAGATCTTCCCAAACAGTGTGTGCATCAGATCCATAGATCACAGTGCTAACTAAGCTATTAGAAACCGTATTCATAATCCAACCTAACACGATAGCATTGCATCTTTCCCATTGTTCATGCATAGAAGAAGGGTACATGCTCTTAGTACAGGTTCCTAACAAAAAACCTAGCTTATTTTTACCAAGTAATACAAGCTTCAAAGATTTACTCCATAAGGAGTAATTTTCAGATCCTAGAAGTTGAATTGAAGTGAGTAGAGAGCCTTGAGTATCAGAAGGATGAATAAACAATGGATGATTGTGATCGATTGAAAGAGGAGCTCTAACCTCACCGGCAACAGTTGCTACTTCCTCAACTGCCATGGCAAAAAATCACTGAAACTGAAGATGAACACCTGATCTTCAATTGAGGGAAAACAGAGAAGAAGAAACGTGATGTTTGGCCGAAAATTACAGTAGAAATCCTACTGCTCTGATACCATGTTGAGAACCTCCATTAACCATTAATGGGAGTGAAGAAACTTTTAGAGAGTATTTGGGAGAATGAAGTTGTGTATTCATTCAATCTGTAAGTGGATATATATATATAAAAAGATGAGAAGAAAAATAACTAACTAAGATTCTTTCTCTAACTAACTTGTAACCAATCTCCTAACTAACTTTTGTAACTAACTACAACAACTAACTAATTTATTTACATTGCTTATTTACATGATCTCAATAGTTGAAATTATAAAATTAAAGATATATAAGACAAAATCTTGTAAATTTATCTCATATTTCAGATACATTTTGTCATGTACTGCATTAAACGTGGTACGTTGCCTTTTAAACATGGGAAAAAGTTCAAATACGCTATCAAATTTTCAAAAAAAATTAAAGCTGCCATTATTTTTAAACAGTGATTTAGCAAATCATTTTCACATGTTACCAACTATAATTCAGCCAAGTCATTATATTTTTATTAAATTTTTTTGTTAAAATTCTAAATAAAAATTGAATTAATATGATGTGTGGCTATTTAAATAAATAAAATATAAAAATTACATAAATACCATCGACTAAAACCATACAAGTTGACCAGGAGATGTCAGCGTCTAACCCTTCTATATACAGAAGAAATAGTTCGGGGGCTCATCCGAATTTTATTTTCTAACTGAAAAATTATATTATTTATCTATAATTAAAATAATTTTTATTTATATATAATTAATATCGAACTCTTTTTTAGCTATTTTATGTATCTATTTCTATATATTTTAAATTTTTTTATTAAAATTTTTAACTCCACTACATATACAAAGTAATACTAAAAAAAGTAAACAATATACAATAGTATTATTCTTTATATAACAATTCCTGTCCAAGTATTTATGTAAAATAGTTGGTACACCAAACGACCCAATCAACAAAGTCTGTCACCAACCAAAACCACAAAATTTGAAGTCTAGAAATGGCTAAATATATATATTTTTTCTGTTTCAAAGTCGACAACTCCAACTTTGACAAGTATATGATGTCTTCTTCTTTTTTTTTCTATGAGAAGCGTCAACTAACGCGCATATACTCGCATAAAATAAATAATATGATAATCGAAATATAAGAAATAATAAATAGTAATATAAATAAATAGCAATATAAATAGAAGGAGATGAAATAAATAAATGGTTTTAAAAATTTGGGAGAATGGGATCGAGTTGTTTTAAATAGGGTCGGGTTATTGAGTTAAAATAAGGAATAGTTTTTTTTTTAAAGAAAAAAATAGGGTTAATTTAGGTTAATCCGTCTAATGAGAGATAAATTCGGTGAAATTAGTAACGGGAGGAATATTTTAATTTTATTTTAACAACGAAGATAAATTTAAACAATAAATTAAAATTGAGGGATATTTTTGACGTTTCGCCTTATTAGTATGGATGAAATTGCAAGACAACACACTTCTGCGTATTAACCTTGCTATTACCTTAATTTTGTGCCCTTTAATAACTTTCTGTCTAAGGCAAGGGTGTAGCTATAATTATTCAAATACTCTTTGTTAAAAAATTACATAGTATATATATTTATGTCAATTTTTAAATTTAAATGATATATATTTAAAATTAGACCTCCTTGATAAAAGCTATATCTATAATACTGTAATAATACGTGTCCATTCAAATAAAAAAAATTCAAATTTAAATTTTAAATAATATAATTATTTTTAACAATCACCATGTTATATTTATCTCTTCATGAAATCATATATAATCAACCAAGCAAAACTCAGAAGCGTGAGTTTTTCGTTTGTAAAAGCAAAAATAGGCAAGGTACGTGATTAAGTTGGGAATACACGGAAGAGCGAATATCCTATCCGTCCAATAATAGTTATTCGCATCGGTCCAATAATAGTTATTCGCATGCAATTTTGAGATATTTACATATTTATTCATTTTATAAAATTAATAAATAATTTTATTTATGATTTTTAATTTATACTTATCATTAATTATAATTATTTTTATATTACATGTTCAATACATTGTATTCCTTCCCGTTATATCGTACTTTTTAAAAGTTAATTTTAATTTCAAAATTAAATCAGATTATATTAATTTAATATTTTAAACGAAATATCTAAATATTTAAAACTATATAAAAAGTATTACAAATTACATTTTTTACATATCAATATAATAAAAATATATATTGTAAAATATTATGCAAATTTTTTATAGTTTACTCTAAAAAAAGAAATTATAACAATTAAAAATCAACGAAGAAAATATTAAAAAATAATATAATAAAATTTCCCATATACTTATAATTTAATCACATTACGGTATGTAATTCTTAATATCTTTCAAAAATAAAACAACTCCGAAATCATTTTCATCAATACCACCTCCGTATTTTCGCTAATCAAGCTTTATTTTATTAATTCTATTAGTAGAACAAACAATATATTTACGTATTAACATAAATAATCCAGAAATAATTGTTTTTTTCCTTTTAAACTTTATAATAAACTCAAATAATATCATGTATTTGGAAACGAAAATGATATAATTCCAAACTCCAGTAGTATTAGTAACAATTATTATCAATATTTTCTGACAGTAAAAAAAAAGGGAAGAAAATGGCCCTCACTTCAAAGGTGTGAAGGCAAAACTTCAACGTCTTTCAACCCTAATATTCCGCACAATTCTGGAAACAACGATTTTCTGATCTCTGCATACGCTTTACCATCCCAACGCTTTTTTCCCAGCTCCTCCGCCAGTTGCACCGCCGCATCCACCGTCTCCTCCGCCGTACCATGCGCCGAATCCACCATTCCCATCCTCACCGCATCCTCTCCTCTAATCTTCGACGTTTTCAACACCAAATCTCGCCGAGCAACTGCCGATCCAATCTTAGACCTAATCATCGCCGTGAAATAATCCGGCAAAGTCATCCCTATATCCAATTCACTCATATACAACACGCCTTTATCCGATCTCATCATTATATAATCATGACTCATCGCTAACAACAGCCCTGCCGCCGCAGCGTGGCCGGTAACGGCAGCGATGGTTGGAATCGGGAGTGACATGAAATCGGCAACCACTGGCTTTAACGAATCCACCATGCTCCTAAGCCGATCGATAGAAGCTTTTGCTGAGCCTCCGGCTTGTGCATACTTTAGATCAAAGCCGTTGGAGAAGAATCTTCCATCGGCTTTGGTTATTAGAACGGAACCCTTAACGGATTGGGATTTAACTTGCGCTAGTGTTGATCGGAGGGTCGCGATGAGAGTAGGATTCAATCGGTGCTCGTCGTTGCCGGTAAGCGTAAGATAGAAGATGTTGCCGGCTTTTTCTAATGTGCACATCGTGAGTTGCGTTGAAATGTGTCTTTATGCGTTGGATAAAGATGAGGATATTCTGAATAATGAAAGAGTGTAATATATATAATGAAGTTTAATTAATTACACTAAATACCCCTATGGTATTACTTAATTATTGATAGCTCCTACTGTTTTAAAATAAGATAGTTACGTCCCTTATATTATAGAAGTTCTATATTTATTCCCATAGACATAGTATTATTTTTTTTAATTTTCTATATGGTGTTCGAAGTTGATCATTCATCCAGGAGTGTGATCAACAGAACCTTTTGACAAATTCAAAGCTTGAACTTAGAATTATGATTTAAGATGAAATAGTTTCATCAATACAAATAATTTGCATTTATATCAAATAAAATTTAGTGCTCTCTTCATTCACTTTTACTTGTCACTTTTTTTTAAAAATAAATTTTTAATTTTTATTCATCACTTTTGATGCAAAAACAATTATATTTTTTCATGTTTACCCACAATATTGAATATTCTTTCTTTAAGTCATTTTAAACATAATTTAATAGAAATAGTATGATAAATATTTATATCAATTTTTTTTAATGAGTGTGTCAAGTTAAAATGTAACAAGCAGAAGTGAATGGAAGGATTTATCTTTGTAAAATGAAAATAAATAATTTTTTAAAAAACATATAAGAAAATTATAAAATAAAACTTGTGTATTTAACAAAAGTGAGAAATTGTTTATTATCAAATGTTATAGGTTATTAAATAATTTATATTTGTTTATTTATTTATGGGTCACAAACATAATACATAAACATGATTACTTTGACTTGAACATACATTATGTCCTCTAATTTTAATTGTGCATAAATAAACAGGGGCTACATATAATACACGTAAGATGTCACGTAGATTACTAAATTACCATGTAGGTTGTGTAGGATGAGTGTATCCATTTGTCCAATTATATACAAATTTAAATGTCTACTTGTGCACACCTAAAATTAAATATCATAATTGCCAACTGACACTAAATTAAGCATTATATTTATGTATTATGTCAACTATTTCAAAAGCTATTAAATATTTTTGACTAAAGTTATTTTGTTAAATTGTTTATTATCCTTTGAATTTTGCTTTGATATAAATACTCTCTTTATTTATCCATTATATTATGGGTCCATTTGGCCGTGAGATATAAAATCATGATTAGAAATCATGATATACGATCATATAAAGAAGTTGAAGTTTTACCTAGATATGCTATTTGAATTTTTTACATTATATATTTTTTTCATATATATAAAAACTCCAATAAGTTCTAAGACTATTAAATTGTCTCAATTCTTTATACAACAAAACTTCATAAATCAGATAATATACTATATCACAAAGTTATTTGAAAAAAAAACAATATCTATTAATCAAATTTTAATTTAATAAAAAAATCGAATACAAGTTATGATGTTGTAATGTATTAGTCTTTAATATAATTCTCTCATATAGTATAAACAATCTCTTTATATTGAACTTACACTTCTCGATCATATAATCGAAAAGATGAACAAACATTATTACTTTGAACCATTTGTTCATAAATAGAATTGATCAATATAAATGATAAGGTATAATAATTGGATTTGAGTAATAATAAATTTTATGCATGATGGTGAATATAATTGTTATATGAGAAATAAATTATTTTGAAAAAGCAACGATATAAAGTCATGAATTACAAAATTTATTCACTTATCAAATAATTGGTTAACAGATACCAAATATTGGGTGTTTACAAAATATAAATGTGTGAGTCAAATTTTTATATTTAGAAAAATCTCAAATCACGCCTTTTGAAAAATTTGAGATTTTATCTCATAAAATGAAATTAGCATGAAATCACATATCGAAACATTAATTTTATCTCATTATTTCATATTACATCTGTCCACTTTTAACTATCATGATTTTAAAGTTGAACTTTAAAAAATTTGACTAACATTTTATGATATATCATTCTATCATATTAATATCTAAAAAAATTTGATTTACGATATTTTTAGTATAATTTTTAAATATCTAAATTTTTTAATTTAAATAACAAATTAATATAATTTAATTTTAATTTTTAATATTTAATCAAATTAACGTTTAAAAAGCATAAAATAATAAATAAAAATAAACTAAAAAATATCATAATGTGGATCCTTGTGCACAATTAGTGAGTGAATTGCCAAAAAGTAGCCTTCTTTTAAAGCGATAAACACAAATTATTTTATTTGACTTTTACCGAGTCAATTACTTAACTAGTCACTCAAATTAAGAGAATTACTTTAAAATATTATTTATATTTTGTTTAGAATCAAAATATTATTTAATTATTATTATTTTCCTTTAAATATATTTGAACTTCAAAAGCCTCAATCTCTCCTAGTTGGCATGACATGTCATTAATTTTTTTAATAATAGACTAATTTAGTTCATTAAGCCCATTTAACTAAAATAGTGATCATATAAATAAATCTTCATACTTAAGATTCTTTTATCATAATTATTATTTTTATTTTTTTATCTTATGAAGAATCCGTTTAAAATGTAATATGATGTCATCAATTTTGAATACTTATAAACACATACTTTCGAAAGGATATATTGATATATAAATCACGATAATGCTAATTTAAATCAATTAATCATAAATTATATAATAAATCAATAATACAAAAGGTCAATTAACTATTACATAATTGTGTATTTTAAAATTCATGCTTTCGATATTTTCTTTTGAAAAAAAGAAGTGAATAATGTTATATTTTTTATCCCAAAAAAATATATTTTAAAAGTCTCCTTCTATTCTAATTGATATGTCATGTCACTAAATCATCATTTTAAGAAAATAATAAACCTATTTAATTTATTAAACTTATGTCTTTGCAAAACAAATATATAAATTACATAAAAATTTATGAAGATTATAATTTATAAGGATAAAATTAAAAAAAGTCTAATTCCTTTATATATTTTTACCAAACAAAATTTAATGAAAAACCTCTATTTGCTCTTATTATCTTATAGTTTTAAAATTCCTTACTAAATTATTTAAAAAATTTAAGCAAATTATTTCAGAAAAGTATTCTGACAAAAAAGTTGGTAAGAAAGTGAAAATTATTGTTTAACTTCTTTTATTTTTTATCATTTTATTCTATATTATATTAAATTATATTATATTATATTATATTTTAACTTCGCATACAATTAATCATCAATATATATTCTTATCTCATCCTAAATTTATGAAATACAAGCAATAATAAATTGAATTGCCTATTTTAATTCATTAATTACATATTATATGATATTAATATACTCAAAAATAAAGATCTAAATTTTATTTTCTAATATAAATATAATTCACTTTCTAAATTCTTTCAAAAAAAGATATTTTAAGTAATAGATGGATTTCAAAGCACCCAAATAATTATTTTTTTAATAATTAATTGACCTTTAATATTATTGATTTATTACACAATTAATGATTAATTATTGTAAATTGCATTAATGAGTGATTTATATATCGATTATTTTTTGAATGTATGTATATAAGTATTCAAAATTGATGATATTAAATAAAAAAAAATAATTATGATAAAAGATTTTAAGTATGAAAAATTATTAATAATAATTTAATATATTTTTCTTAAAAATAATATGATCGTTGTTTTAGTTAAATGAGTTTAATGAATTAAATTAGTCTATTATAAAAAAAGAACTTTAATGACATATCATGCCAAGTAGAAGAGAGTGAAACTTTTGAAATATTAAAGTATATTTGAAGGAAAATAGCGATAATGAAATGATATTTTAATCCTAAATAAAGTATAAATAATATTTCAATTCAAGCATTAACTCAACTTTTACCACCCAACGCCCAACATCCATCTCTTCCATTATGATACTCCCTAGTTTTGTTTTATATGCCAATTTTTTTTAATATAATATTTGTTATTAAGTTGTCTATTTTATTCTATTTATATTTGATCAACTTAAAAAAAAAGTTAAGTAGGATTTATATTTATTAATTATTTAATTAATTAAGATAAATTAATTTATATTGATTGATTAAATATTTCATTTCTTAGAGTTAGTATATGTCTTGTTATAAAAATATTTTGTTATAGATTTTATAATTATACAAATGATAAAAATATTATTACTTTTTTCAAATAGAAGTGAACAAAAAATAAATAACTTTAAATTAGAGGGAATTGCTCGAATTATAAATATCTGACACTTTTAACTTTGAGCTATGAATTCGAGTCCACAAGGTAGTAAAAATTGGGAAATATGAGTTTTAAAAAATAATAATTATAGATTCAATTTTTAATATTTTTCTTAAAAGAATATTTCTACACATCTTTTTTTTTTCTTTTATGATTTAGTGGTAAATTTAGATTTATTATTTTTTATGGTTAAATTTATCTTATCTTTTTACAAAATTTATCATATATATCTTTAAAAGGTTTTTAAAATACAAAAAGTAAAATATAATATATCAAAAGTCAAATTCAATAGCTCTCTATATTTCGAATAAATTAAGATTTCGAATAAATTAAGTATATTTTTTCAAAATATTTATTAAATATATAACAATATCTAACTTTCTAGAAAAAAGAAATGAAACATGTTATAATTAACAATAAATAGCCCAATAATTAGCATTTAATAGACAAATAAAGTAAGCAAAAAATGACCCAAATTAATAGGTGTCAAAGATTAATTGTCAATTTAAACAATCAACAAATTGTTAACCCATTTTTTCTAATTTTACTCTTAATAATTAGTTCATTTTATTAATTACTTATTTAAAGTTACATGATCACTTTAATTTATAAAAAGTTGCTTTTACAGTTTTCAATAAAATTTCAACTATTTTAAGTACAATTTTTGAAGAGTCATTAGAATAGTATGTATTTCATTATGAACATTGAGAGGCCACAAGACAATACTCAAATAGAGAACAAAAAGAAATTCCAATTGAAAAATTAATTAATGAAGAGAAAGTAGGTACATACTCCCTAATTAATTG